TCTCTCCCTTGTAATCTTCAAAGGACATGTTTCAACCTAGCGATTGGTCAGGTGTTTTTTTTAATCTGAGATCAATCAATCAGCTATCTTCGTGCCTTCAATTTTGCTATGAAATATTCCATGGGTGTAGAGAGCGAAAGTGAGCGTAACCCCTGGATATCGAGGATGCCATACAATGTACAATACACAAGTACAAACAATATATTCTTATTCCATAATAACTTACATACACTTTCATTCTTGACATACTTCCATCAATTTAAGTAGTGTACATGTATTTTATATGATAAAATAGGAAGATAGGAAAGGTTTGATTTGGTTAAGTATTGTTTAACGTCCTATCAATAGCTATATATGATCATTTAAGGACGGCCTCCCCTGTGTGCATTGTACAAGCGTGTAGTGTATGCGTATGTGTTTTGGGAGGCTGCGAAATATTCGTGTTTGTCTCCTTGTGATAGCGCGGAACTGATGCCGACTTTATAGTGCTACCTCACTGAAACATATTGCCGAATACACCCAGCAGGACACCCCACCCGGTCACATTATACTGACAACAGGCGAACCAGTCGTTCCACTCCTAAATTGTTGAGCGTTAAGCAGGAGTAGAAACCATTTTTACAGACTCTGGTATGTCTCTGCCAGGGGACGAAACCCAAAGCCTTACTCACAGGGGCGAACGCTCAACTAAAGGCCAAAGTGAAGCATTGTTAAGGGAGACATTAAGAAGAAGAAAGATGTTTAGAAAGAAGAGAAAAGATAAGATCCCAAATTTAGTCGCCTCTTACGAGCATGCAATGGGATGAGTCCATATGTTAGTCCATATAACTGTACACCGAAATCCCGTCAAAATTTTAGGTAAAAAATGGAATATTCTCGGGGAAAGCGGCAAGTTGTCGTTAGATCCATTTCGAAGCTCTGTATCAATAACTCACGAGTACGCATGCGCTGTATCAACCTAAAATGCATGTATATTTCAACACATTTCACCAATGTACCTGACTGGCACCTATTTTCAAATTTCAGTTACTTACCTTCATTTTTCTTTTCCACTTTTCTATCAATAGTGTCGTGCAAATCAAGTACCATTTTCGCAAAAAAACATTTGAACAAGGACGTGTTAGAACATTGGCGAGTATGAAACTACATTCATAACCTTCCTATATTATAAACTATTTTTTAAAACACTTTAAATGATTAATTATAAAATTGTAGGATGTGTTACAAAATTGTACCTAAGGTAAGGAAAGGTGTCTCCCCTAGATGTACGTCTACTGCATTGGAACCCAAAAGTCTAGTCGGAAGATACGAACCCCTGGAAATGGTGTGTAAGTGACAAAGAGCATGGGGCTATTCGTTTATGCAGAACAACCGGCTTGTCTGCTTTTAAATGTAACATTTTCGGGTTTAAATACTGGCGGACCAGCACATGTTTACGCAGGCATTGCAAGGCTTTGCCAAATCCTGCCTGAAAGCAGCATCAGATTACTTGGTCCGACCTTATTTCATAACAAATAACTCTGGTCCAACCGGTTCAACCGTTTACATCGCGATAACCGAAAGCGACCCAGGATCCTTAGGAAAAGTGGAACAATGTAGATATATAGGGAGATTACTTGGATTCTCAAATATTTGCTGTGATTCTAAGGCGGTTAAAAGGCTAGCAACTCACGGATATATTTCACCTTATTCTTGGAATTGTCCAAAATTCGTATACACCGACAAACATCGTCCTTAAGTAGTGGAAAGCAACTTTGTTGGTGTTTGCAAGTACTGTAGCCACCAGAGAGAGGTAGTAGAAGCAACGAAGGGTTTCTGACGTTTAACGAAATTTACTATTAGATAAAAAAATAAAAGTAAGGTGAGCACAAGAGATTTGGCAATAAATTGGAGGCAGGTACTCTCGCGAAATGTGCTGAAATATATACATATACATACATTATATGTTCATATAGGTTTTGCGTGTTTGTGAGATAATGGTGTGGATACAACAAATAGCTTCCAAAAAAGGTAATTCTGACGATAATTTCCTGTTATCTGAAATTCAGTCTAAAATTTTAATTAATAAAAGTTAGAGTAGCCTACAGTTAGAAAATACGACACACATGACTCGGCCATAATTCTACCATTTACTAGTGTTAAATGATATTGTGGGGAGAAGCGAAACGGGCAGCCGAAGTCAGAACAAAATGGAGGACATTTGTGAGGACATTGTAAGGTCATAGGTCAACTAGTGGGCGGGCGAAGGGGATTAGTAAGTCAGGATTTTAAAAATTCAGTTTTATATCATATAATGATTATATAATGTCATTTTATCACATGTCGTTATTGGGGTGATTTTCTGAAACTTGGTAACCCATTTTTGTGTTTTAAAATGCCTATTGTAATAGCTCGCTTTCCCATCAGCCTTTGATATCTTAATATCTGAAGATAATATACAATCAAATCAAGACTTACCGTCCCCTATCATCCTATGTCAGCTCTGTGTTCACCAAAGACAAATAGTTCGACACTTGTAAGTGACACTCCTATCGGAACACACACAACTGAAGTGTGTTATATCCAGGACCATTCAGATAAACTACAGTTAAGGCGACAAACTACCGACAAAGACAATCAATGTGTTCTGACAGTTAGGTCACTTGCTGGATACTACTCCAGGACTTATTTCTATATTCGATTCAATATTATATATAGCGAGGTACTTTGGAAAGACATTGACAATATACAATTTATTTTTTCCACATGCAGCCCTATGGGCCTCGATCAGTCCATTCTCTCACAGAAGGGACAGTTTTTGGCCTTTCTCCTTTACGTAGATTCAATAATAATATTTTACGGGGTACTTTGAAAAGAATATTGACAATGTACAATTCATTTGTCCGCACTGTTTACGGAAAACGTTGTCAATTCTATAATCTGTGAGAGTTTTTCGGTGACGGACATTGATCTGTGTGGTCACACAGGATATGGATGGAAACGATACGCTCCTGTCCCGACATGGACTGACAATTTATTTTACATTCTTAAACTGTATAGATCTTGGCAATGCAATTCCCAGTTTTTACTTTGCACGATATTACACTTTGGCGGATATAAGTGATGTTGACATCAAGGTTTTGGGGTTTCAAAGTACCGGAATTCTGAAAGTTTGATAAAATAATCATAGCTACATAATATACATCGCATTATAGCGGACATATACAGCTAATGTTGGCTTAAGTCTTTTGATTTGAACAGCAGAAGTCCCTGAAAAGCCCGCTCTATTAAAAATGATTTTCGAATAATGTCTTACTAGGTTTAAAATTATTTGTTTATGAAAGATGTTGGCTTTATGGATACTACAAATGATTTTCTGTATCAGAAAAAAATACGTGTGCACTTTCACCTGGTCATAAACTGTAAACCCCGCCCGTCTATATCCAATTATAAATGTGCTCAATAATAGCATAGTTGTTTAAATGAAAGTTTCTCTATTTCATAAAGTTATTGTAAATTCAACGCAAATGTTCCCAATTAATCCAAATTGGTAAGCATTACTCACGGCTGTCGTGAATGTTCTGCTTTTAAATATGTCTGCAGGCGATTGAATACTTAAAAGCGATTTATTATATATGCGCCTTTTAAATTAAAGTACACAGGGAATTTAAAAATAAATATACACCGTTAAACACGTACCGAGTACTTGAAAAAAACATTACTCCATTGAAATGGTAATCGCCCGAGTATGTCACTGTGGCCGTCTGAATGGGGGCGAGTCAGTCTGGGTGTCACTGGGGGAAATATATACATGAGTGTAGTTATAACATTACGTCTATGCGTTTTAACGAAAATCTAAGGCGCAGAACATTTAATCCAATTATATAGATCGATTCGTCACAGCGTAGCTCTAGCCCGAAGACATCTTAGTTTTGATTGTAAAGCGAAATGGTGAAACTTTTAAATTCTATATAATGGGTGAATAATCATAATATAGTATAACCCATTTAGTGATATAAGATACAAACACTGAGTTGAATCCAAACGTTCTATTAGACAATTACATTATACTTTAACCTTGGTGTTAGCCCAGGGAACTAATTAAACCTGGATATCACGTCTCTGATTCGAAGGAGTGTAAGTTAAAATACTTAATCACTTCAAACGCTTAGAATAAATGTACCTGACTTTCAGTAGGGGGCAAATTGCGATTTTGATTTATCAACGTTCCTTTTTCTCACCGCAAACCAACTTTCTGTGGAGTGCTCGTACCACATGACCTATTTATTGGTTATCGATCTGCAGGTGGTGTTCAATAACCAAATACACCTCATCATGCCCCAACTTGATTTACTTTGATAGTAAGATGTTTCTGGAATTTTAAACTTAAGCATACCTCTATTGTGTACAGGTATAGGAAGAAAGTTTAATCCTCTTTCAAAAAATGACACAACTCGAACATGTTTACTGAGCTGTCGGGGTACAGGTGATTTTAAAGTATTACATTTCTTTAATAAACAAAATGTCAGTTTAATAAAAATGAATTTCTATGAATGCAAATTAAAACGACTTGAACTCGTTTGGTGGTGACGAACAAGTGTTTTATGAGCCATAAATATGAGAATAATGTGGTTTTTATTTGAACGGGTAAGAGTTTACACTAATCCTTCTTACTGTACAGGTATTACAGGTAAATCTGTGTCCTTTACCAGGTATTGGATTACTTAAGCTTAGGGCTTTAATCCAGAAAACAATACACAGTGAAACCGAATCAATTTTATATTTTATTTCATTTGGGTTTAACGAAATATGTGTAGATCAACGAACAATATGGGCCATTATGGACCATACAGTAATACTGTTTTAAGGGGGATTACCCCACACCAGAATATTACAATGGTATACAGGTATAAATACATAATACCATTCCCCACCTATGTACCTGTACAAATGACCCACTTCTAAACCAACTAGCTTAAGAAAATATATTTATCCAAGAGAAAGAAGTTTATATGTCACGATTTCATTTTTCATATTTATTCAGTTTTTCCAATCAAAAATATAGCATATATCTCCCATTTTTCAATGTATAATATAAAAACTACAAGAATGTAGGAGTAGACTCCAGTCGCATGGGAAAGCGTTAGCTATCTGTTTTCTGTTTGGTAGTATATTTTCCAGTCGTAACACGTTTAATAACCGATGAAACTGGCATTCTGGCCTATATATACAATAAACCTGTATATACAATACACCTATATACCACTGTATTCTGTGTGGAGTAACGAATAAATAATACAATTAAACAATCGACACAGAGGCTCACCATCAAAAAATAAATAGTCCGTAAAAATTTAACAATACACGATATACAAGTCTGGCCAAAGGAGTTCGGCTCTTAGAAGAGACAGTTTCTTCCCTTGTTTATTTTTTTCCATGAAATATTGTTTCTATCTACTAAAATCAATAACTAGCACGCCTATTCGTTTTAATTGATATAAAAATGCTGTACCACAGACAAAGTATAATTGATAGGTTGTGTACGAGGTGGAACTTTTGTTTTAATATTAAAAATTAAAAATGCATCCGATAGAATTTGCTTTCAGTACAATATTAGGTATTATAAAACAATAATTTAAAAAGAAATCTGTCCCTGCCATGCGTTGAACCACTTTGGTCTGACAGAGGATAGACATCGATATCATTAATTAGTGTTCGTAATTCAGCTTGACTGGTAACATTCCAGTGATACCGTGTTCACAGGTGCTTCGTTTCAGACATTAATTAGAATTCAAAATCAATCATCAATAAGATCAGTAAGGTAAGATATGAAACATTTTAAAACGAAAAGAAAAGCCGAATTGATCTACCATCAAGTCATAAACACAAAAATTAATTAACGAAGAAATATGCTGTAGTAGTAAGGATCGACTTGAAAGATTAATAAAGATTACATTTGTAAAAAATGATGATTATATCCTTCAAAACGTAATAGACCTATTAACTCATCCTGGAAGTAAAATTAATTAAGATATTATGCTTTGAAGAGACAAAATTACTTCAATTAAATTCTAAAATAAATAATCATTAGTATACACGTGTGGATTTGATTATATATAGCGTTATATCCTGTATATATTCAATCGGGAACGGTCGGCAATTTCCGCAAACGAGTTTACGGAAAGTGCCGACGGTTTCCGATAGGTGGATAATAAGCCGAATTGAAATAATCGGCAAAGTGGTTTTAAACTGTTCCACTCAATATAAACAACAAAATAAACTCTTGAAACATTAACAATTATCACAAGTAATCAGCGAAAAATGCCTAGAAAACAGACATCACTCTATAATTGTGTTCCATGCGCCCGTGTGAGGTAGACCTCGGTATAGTTTATACACATCACAAAAATAAATGCTTCTTTGAACGACATGGTCCACAGAAAAACTGTTTGCCCCACAGGCGACTGTGAATCAGAAAATGATATGTGTATACCAATTTTATCTACCATATAACCATTTATACGCACACAAAAACAGTCAACTTGTTTTGCAAGGAGACGCGAATTTGATACATTTCAGTGTGTTTCAAAAGTTATCGAAGTTGAAATGGAAATAATTTGACTAAATTTTGACGAAATAAAGTGACGAATTCAGAATTTTCAAAATGAAGGGGCAACAACTCTTGAATGGAGAGATACGGTAAATTCGAAAAATATCATTTACATCAAAAACCACAAAGAACTATTTGGCCAGGAAATTCCTTCTAAATCTGCCACTAGAACATAACAACGACCAGTTGCGTTGTCAGGGGTGGTTGTTTACAGAAAAGTCATCTTCGACAAAACTGTCGATCATAATCAGCATCACTACATCTTATACCGAAAGCACTTGTAGAAACACGACAGAGCAGGCTTCCCTCTTGTTGTTGACTCTGTGTTCGCTGAAAGCGTTGTGACGAAGTGGTTTCTGACAGCATATTGAGCACTTTTACACACCAGAAACATTCCTTTGTAAACAGTCGCTTTTCTCCAACTGTCTTTTGATGCCGACTCTATCGGAACCGGAAGTAAGCAAGTGACTTATCCCTAAGTTTCTTCCTTATCAGGAAATATTTCCCTGGATACAGCAATACTATATGTAGCTGACAGGTGAAAACAACACAGTAATGAGGCAGCTGACTAGGAACAGAAATGTAGCTACCATTAAACTAGCCACTGGAGTCTGACCAATTTATTTTCCTTATAAGGAAATACGTTCCGAGTTACAGTAACGTTTGTCACCGAGGTGTTTTCCCTTGTCAGTCGAGTTTGACTAGATGTGTGGCGGTCATTGAGCTTGTTCGTCCTCTGGGTACTCACTAGTCATGGGGTTTGTATTGCCCTGTAGCACTGCCTGTTCCTTACGTTTCCTCACCATCTCGGCGTGTGCTTCGCGCTTGGCCATTTTTTCTTTGATCTCTTGCAGCCTCCTCTCGCGTTTATCAGCAACATTGTCTATTTTTTCATGCACCTCCTTGTCTTTCTTTTCTTGACTGACCATGAACTTCTCGAGAGCGTGATTCACACTGTCTTTGCTCTTTTCCAGCTTCTGAATCTTCTCCAAACGCTCTTGTTCTTTACGCTGTAGAAATAAAGTCAACAGTTAGAATGATCTTTGATCTTTTTAGTTTGTAATCAGACGATTTATTTAGATTCTTTTAAACAATTAATAACATTAAAACACAAATCAGTTGGTACATACTTATGTGAATCATCGATAATGTTTTTTGTTGACAATTTACCTTTTTCCTTCTTTCAGCTTTTTCCAACTTTTCCCTAATTTCTTCTGCTGTTAACTGTTTCTTCTTCTTTCGCCTCCTTTCCAGTTTGGCTAGACGGGGTGGTGGGCGTGGCATCCCGAATCCTTCTCCCAGGAGCGAATCTTCTGCCGCCACGATTTCGAAGCTCGTACCCCCGGATGATTTGGCATGGGGACGGGCGATTAATCCTTCCTCCCGTAGAGACTGTAGCACCATAGACTCCTCCATGCGGTCCTTATCCTTGGCGCTGAGGCGGGTTGGGCAGGCCACGCCCGTGATACCGAGATCTGTGGGTCAAGACAAACATTTACATCAGTAATCGACACGCCTGTTTCTTAAAGGGCTTTAATGAAGAAACACTCAAACATCGGATTGTATAATTATTTGTTCTGCATCAAAATATACAATTAAAACTGGAAAACAACCTTCCCACCGACAATCAATTGCCTTTATTATTTTACCAACTTCCCTTATATTGATACAGTCCATTATATATATATGATCTTTTTAGAGTAAATCTGGTTGATAGTCCAGTTTGTAATTGTGGCCATCCCTGTAAAAACGGCTTTCACTTTTTTTGTGAGTGCTAACTTTTTAACAACGAAAGACATACCCTGCTCCTAAATTTGAATGCCTTGCATGTTGATTTTTAATATTAAAACTACTTTTGTTGGTAAAAGTCAACTTTCGGTAGAAAACAACATTAGTATCTTGAGACATGTGCATCATTATACATGAAATCCAGCAATATGTTTTGATAGTTATAATTATTTTTTTCTATTCTTATTCATGTGTAAGTTGTTATATGTGTTAATGATTTCTTTGTTACATTGATTCTGATCATTTTGAAATTACTCTACCAGGATGCATGTCATTAAATTTGTATAACTTATTCAAATGCGGATCTATTTCACAGCTTACAAGTTTTCTTTTCTATGTAACACCCCCTCCCCTCCATCACCCACAACCCCTCCCACCTGACCTTTCCTTCTCCACCATATCTTTCTCCCTTTCCCCAAAATCATTTGCATTATTTTTACCATATGTATTGAGGAGAGGACTGTTTTAAGTTGTAAAAACTTGTTGTCCAATCCATTTGTATATTTGTACAATAAAATATGGGATAATTGTAGGTATAATTGATTGATTGATTTGTGATCGATGTAGGTATAATTGATTGATTGATTGGTGATCGATGTAGGGAAAATTGATTGATTGATTGGTGATCAATGTAGGGATAATTGATTGATTGATTTGTGATCGATGTAGGGATAATTGATTGACTGATTTGTGATCGATGAAGGGATAGTTGATTGATTGATTTGTGATCGATGTAGGGATAATTGATTGATTGATTTGTGATCAATGTAGGGATAATTGATTGATTGATTGGTGATCAATGTAGGGATAATTGATTGATTGATTTGTGATCAATGTAGAGATAATTGATTGACTGATTTGTGATCGATGTAGAGATAAATGAACGGATTTAACGATATGTAGAACCTAGATTGAAGAACATTCTTGCAGTTTACAGACTTTATTTACATTTTTGCTTTGTTTTAATAAATATAGAGGGATTTTTTAGTTAACAGCTATGTATCACGATTCTGTTGAAGATTTAAATATGTTTCATGAGTGCGTAGTATTGAGTGAAATACATTAAGAATTCATATATGTTATTTGTCACCGTAAAAAAATGACTATTTTTGTCGGTGAGAAAAATGTAATAAAATAAGGTATTACACATAAGAACGGAATTTTCAACATAAATGTAGGTCGACGGTATTAAACTAAACTAGCACCATGTATTTAGAGTTGATTTTGTAATATATGTTAAACATTGATCAGTGCCTAAAGAGTATCAATGGGACGTTCAAACTCCGACCTAACAATACACTCTGATACTCTAAACATCAATAGTTTTACAATGATTGTTAAAATAAACTGATTAAATTAATGTTCAATAATACTCAACAAAACGCTAGGTGTGTATAGACTATCATGTTGAGACACGCATAGAAAAAAATACTTGGACACTTTAGAAGCTGTTAAATCGAAAAATGCTCATTTTTTTTTTAAACATTTACACGAGTTTCTTTCAAAGTTTCACACATTTAATTATTTAATTTGAGGTATCGTAGTCTTAGTCTTGGTCGATCAAGCTTTGTGGTGTTGTCAGACACTTGTAGCTATATTGTTGGAACCTTGTAAGGAACTTGGCCTGTGTTAGGAGGTCTGGTGGCTGTCGATTGTACCTGCTATAGGCCTGATACCGACCAGGCTACCGGTTCACTAAACTACGGTCGAGGTAATACAATACTTCTTATAAACGTACAATAAAGCAATACAAGTAGATAAATATTAAATGAACCAGACATGATTTTTACGCCTCACTGCACACACATGCAGCCTATATATTTACGTGTAGAGCTGTCATACTGTGTATACCACAGTTTCTGTATATTATATATATACCTATCATAAGTAATGTTGTCATTTAACAGGTCTTAGTTTGTTGTTTAAGGGAGAGAAATAATTGGTAAGGGTAGCCTGAATGTAGGAGCGAGAGGAATACTGTTACATTATGACACATTAAAAAAAAACTTCTTTAGTTTTTTAATTGTTAAAACGACCGCATGAATTAAGATTAATCAGGGTATCCTATTCACTTACTTGACTGTCCCATTATTTCTATCGAAAATGACTACATTTTTTTTTATATAATTACCTTGAGTTTTTTTTAAGTTCTGGCATGTTTATGTTTGATATTTTCCCTTTTCATATAAAGCAGCTTGTTAACCATTTCATGATGAGTGATGTTTATTTTGAATTATACTGGGAAACAATGCAAATAACACCTTAATTGAAGGCTATTGTACGTATGCTTGCATAGATACAACTTTCAAAATAATATTATGTTTGAGGGGAAAGGGGAAGGAATGTTGGAGGATGGAGTTTGGGTATACAATGTATGCTGGACCCTATCTGATACTCACCCAGTGCCTCATTGGGGACGAAGTTGCTTTCTACCTCCCTAACCCTATTCGTGTCGGACTCCTCGGTGATAACATGGCGGTATTCAGCTCCGAAACCAGAATCAGCACTGTTTTTGGACGAGGCAGAATTGCCCCTCTCCGAATCTGGTATGGAACTCCGTTCATCTAAACTGAGACACGAGCCTAAAGAATCTTTACTCCTCGTACTTTTTGAAGATTTTGTCCTTTTGTTTTTATTTTTATTTTTCGATACTTTTAAGCCTGTGTTTTCGTCAATATCGTATTCTGAAACGTCACTTTTAGTTTTCCTGATGTTGATATTGTCGTGTCTTACTTCGGCAGCTCCCACGGGCTGTACTTGAACTTGTTTCCCCTGTTTACAGCCCATCTTCTGTTTAATATAGTTTCACTAAATCTTCAATAAATCCTTGTTCTTATTATCCCTGAATTGCAGATTCCGGATCCTGCCGCGCACCTGCCCTCTCCCTGATGACTGATCTCACTGCCTCACCTCCCGTTAGCGTGTACAAGGGCTACCCTTTAAATTTCCCCTGGGTCTAATGTTGTTCTTCTTGGCTAATCACTGAGCGATTCGTTTCATTGATTACCTGCCGTCTATCGCTACGGTAAATAATAACAAGGTGTCGTCAAGCCGCCATTGTAACTATAGACGCCGGGAAAATATTGACGTAAATACCCGAGAACAACTCGGGGTATCTCGGCTCCTTCTCGATTCGCCAATCAGAATCGCCGTTATATATATCTTCACAGGAATCACTTGAGTTGAATGTTATCTTTTTAACCTACTTTTTGACAGCATTTAAAAGTGGTTCTCCTGGGCTCACAAAGAATTGTGAAATACGAACAATCCATATCATATATACATAAAGATGTAAATTATATTTGTTATGGTATTGCAATGTAGAATAAGTCAGAACTAACTTGTACCGTGAATTATTTATGTCTACAGTGTAAAACTTATGTGAAGTAGGCTAAGACTCGCTTTTAAGGACAAAATCATAAGTACTGATCATTAAAAAAACACCATTTAATAAAATATTACATATCGCTTGCGTAAGTTTTAACGGGTTTTAGAACCGTTAGGATATGCACATTCAATTTCGTAAAAGTTTGACGCTGTAAAAATAATTATATCACTAGTCATGTTATATAATACCCATATACCATAAGTAATAATTATATTGATATATATGGCTCACCCGTTGTCAGTATAAGGGTGTCCTCCTGGAATGTCTCAGTGAGGAAGCACTATAAAGTCGGCATCAGTACTGCGCTATCACAAGGAGACAAACACGAACATATCGCAGCCTCCCAAAACACACACACATAATCTACACGCATGCATCTTTCACACAGGGGAGGCCGTCCTTAAACGACCATAGCTGTTGATAGGACGTTAAACAATACTAAACCAAACCAAACTAAAGAACATACAGGACTGTTAACGATGTGCATGCAGAGTTTTAACAAAACAACTAGATATTGAATACATTAAACATACAAGCATTGCTCTCAAAAAGATAAACTGTTCATTTTTTTGAGAGCCATGCTTGTATGTTTAATTTATTCAATATCTAGTTTTTTTGTCATCGTTTAAGAATCTCTGAAGCAGTGTTATTTATATGATTTAGGCTTTATGTGTATTGTCGGAAATTAAAAAAACAACAACAAAGGGTATGATTCATAAACATTTAATTGTTGACTAAAATTCACTCAGAATTACAAAATTTCCAAGCAAGCCTGTTATGAGAAGTTATTGAAAAGCCATATAAAATGCAAAATTGTTCTTCGAGATTTTTTGACGCAACTGCTTATTTGCTCACAGGCCAGTTACGCGCCTGGTATATAACATTTAATGGTAGCTTCTTTTTTTTTTACCACATACTCGAACGTAATAATTGTGTTATAAGAATGCAAGTTCATGTATCTGCTTTAAAATAATATAATTAATCAGTATCAGTTTCCAGTGTGTATGTTGTTCATATAGACCATTATATTTTTCAATAAAAAGACGAACTCCTGTCATAACATCAGATAATATTCAAACAGGAGGTAGACACCATAATTACATATTTCTTTAAAAAAAAAGATCCCGCTTGATTAATATGTCAGTTACATACTGTATTTTGTTTGGTTTAACGTCCTTTTCACAGCTATAAGGTCTTTTAAGGATGTGACTCAGTGTTTGTGATATATGTGTGTATGTGTGCTGAAACACTTGGAACATTCCTGACGATATGTCAACTGTCACTCGGCTAATGACACAATGAACGGACACTTTATAATGACATTGAGCGAGATCGACGGAGTTGTCGACACTTGGCAAGCGCTAGGTGTGAAATATTAACCGTACACATTAGCCAAAAATTATGTGTCACTCAATCCCCCTACTTACATTTTAGAATCACGTCTTACAACCTGTACTAGTTAACAATAAACAATTGTTAGTAGCAATTGATTTAATATAACTAGCGTAATATCTGTTAGCCAGTGATTCAGCTACCGTTGTAAGTAAAACTATTGAATGTGCACGTGTACGCCATTGTCTCAGCGCACATGGACTAATTGATAATTGACTTGTTGAAGCGTTTATATTTATAATACATATTTCGTAGCAGATTACCGACTTTGTTCTTCGACTATGAACATCTCATTGAAAAAAATTATACCTCAACTACTTCTTAAAAAACATATACCTCAATTACTTCTTAACAAACGTATACCTCAATTACTTCTTAAAAAACGTATACCTCAATTACTTCTTAAAAAACGTATACCTCAATTACTTCTTAAAGAAACAATTCTCAACATATGTGTAAGTTATTTTTTGCAATACATTATGAATATACAGTCAAGCAATACAAAATCTCATCCATGTATACATGTAATTGTTTCAAGTAATCAATATGAAAACATGACTCTGACTAGTACTTACCATATATAACCAGTCCTACCAAGCATATTTAGCTCAATAAATAATATTTTAAAAACCATTCAACAAATGTACTTCAATATAAACTTTTTATTTTATTTACCAATGGTAATATATATTTTTTTCTGTTTCGGAACAAACATGTTCTATTTTCAAATTTAATAATAAAGATAATTTTAGGGTTGAGCTTTGATTTAATAGTACATGTTACGTCTCTGATTAAGCTTACTAGGCGTCATTCCATTGTGTTCTGGTACACACCAATTGTTTACTAATCTTTTTAAAATGACGTTGTCCGTCTTCAGTCTGACAAGACGGGCTTTTGTCTAACAGTTAATGTTTAGTGTTAGATGGATGAATACACATCTAGTGGCCTTCAGATCGGGACGGTAGGAAACCAGGGGCACAGTACGTATATCAATACCAAGTACTTCACTGCTAGTCTATGTGTTGTAGTTAGTACGTGTTTGCGTCAATTATGACTGAAATCAGCTGATTCTGGTAAGTAATTAAACATATGACTGTTTCTGTTAATTCTTGATTAGCTTTACGGATACGATTAAATCAAACAGTTAAGCTGACAACTAATAGTTAATTTCTCAGTAGTTTTAAGTGTAATAAGTAAAGTGTACTGAAATGTATGTATAGATGTAGGTATCACGTTTACAGGAAGACTCAGTAGCGTCGTTTCTGTTTCCTGTCGGTTGATATAAGAAGGATGTGTTCTTGTATTATTTTTTATTGTTGTACATTTGTATGACTGATTGTAGGGCGGCATTTGTTCCTAACTGTCTATGTGTAGTTCCGGAACATGCACTCTCCCGTCTTTTCTGTTTGAAACCACATAATTACAGGTCAGCAGGTACCGATTTTTATTTACAATAATAGCATGCGGCTCTAAAACAGTTATTGATTGATTGTCAGATACGGGAAATGAGTAAACAATATTGACAAAAATGAATAGGAAACAGAATTTGTAATTCCATTTTTATAAATCCAAAATACAGGATTTATAGCCCAGCCTTACAAAAGACGTTGTTCCGAACCATCCCTCTACACCCTCCCCACCCCCACCCCGCCAAATAGGTACAATATGTACTGTATCAAAATAGTGTCAACACAGAATCGAGAGTCCCAGGCTCATTTCACCAAATCCCTATACTTTTGTGTGCCGAAATTTTCCGATATCTGTACTCCTTCCCCTTTGCAACCAGATTTTGTAACGACATACAATGTTTGTTACATAATTAATAACTGAATATATTAATGAGAAATATTAAAGCGATATTGAAAAAAACGGCTACTTACCGACCCTGATCACTTGTAACTGTAGTATTGCTAAAAAAAACACACCAAATAATACGAAATCATAGATTACAAACATTTGGTGATTTAGAACTGTACATTTTATTTTCAAACTTTTTAGGAATGGACCAGTGTCACATGACACTCCCGTGGTCGCACGATCGATGAAGAAGTCAGCTTCAAAAGTCATTCAGAAAGGTAAGTGTAAGGGGAAAAGTTCAAACTAAGTCTAGAAACCGACGAGGTATTCCTCCAGCGGAATCTTTTGATTTTGCAAGAGTTATTCCCCTTGTATCGTATCACATCAGTCAATAAGTCATAACTTAAAATTATGTACTGAAGTCATCTAGTTATGAATTTCAAATGGTCATTTACTAAACCCATAAAGTAAATTAAAAGTGTATACGAGCGTACCTCTCGGGCGCCAATTATCTATGATACAAAAAATCTACACACGGCAGACCGGGGCAAGTTTGGCCACCACTGATATATTTTTGTTCTTAAGCCTATACTATTTACAACTTTAACAAAATCTTAGCAGTTTAGTTGGCTTGGCATTCAGTTTGATTCACACGAAAAAAAGATGGCGAGGAAAACAAAAGAATAGAATTACTACACAGGAAAAAGATACTTTTGGGAGCGTAGTCTAGAAAGACAATCATGACCTCGCTTCTTTATAGTTACGCAAACTTTCTGTGAATAACTATCAATTTGGGCCCGGCCAGGTTCGGCCAATGATGCCGGGGCAAGTTCGGCCCATGCAGTTTCTTTATCGCATTCGTACCAGCGGTACCGATACGAACCTGCAATCGGGAATATTCGGCACTTTCTGTAAACGAGAAAATATTTTCGCTGTCGCTCTCTGAATCGTACCAAAGTGGATCCAACATGGCGGCACTGGTCTGTTGTCTTTCACATACATTCTTTGTTAAAAACCAGGCGAGGAATTATCATTTGAAGAAACTTTTCAGGTATCAATTTGAACTGAATACAAATTATTATAATAGTCTGAACTTGACGATAATCGTCACCGTAATCCAGTCATGCATTTGCTTGCAGTTAACAAGCCTGTGCCCTCGCGATCGGTGATCATATCATCATATTAACCTTTCAGAACCAGGCATTCTATACTTGATTTGTTTTCGGTAGGCTACTGGCGTGATTTAGGCCTACCTGGTCTCGTTATTGTTTTCCAAAATTAAAGTATGTAGACCCGCTTAAATTCGAATTTTGAATACACTCATTTGCAACATTGGTAAACTGACTTTTGAGAATGTTGATTAGGCAATATTTTTGTGTACCGCGTGGTCATGTGATTATGACCCTACTATTGTATGTAAAACAAAGAATTACATAAACAAGGTTCATTTGGAGGCAAATTGTGCTCC